TCCATAGTGGTGATTGGATAAAGATTTTGGTAAATTTAGTTTTTTTGACATTTTATTTTTGTTTTTTTAATCTTTAATAATATTATGACATGTACTTAGTGTAATTCTAGAATTAGGAAATTGCTTTGTCAGTGAGATAACATATTTTTGGACAATAAAGCTTATTTTGATTGGATTTGATGATTTGATGTAGAGTTAATAGACCCTGAGATAGGGACTGTTTAGTGGAGTCATTTTTTTTTGTATGGCATTTTGAGGGCTGAATGTGGCTAGTTAACTGATGAGAATATAAGTGGTTTTAATGCCTGCTCCCTGTTCGAAATGTCCACAGAATGTTTTGCGCATTTGCTCGATTTCGAACTGTGATTACCTTCTGGCAATTTTCCAGCGTTATTTTCACAACAAGAAATTTCATTCTCTCGATTACCAGACAGAAAGTAAATGCGGAAAGTTCTATACTTTTCTCTTGGAAGTTGACACCCCTCCCCACTTTTTCAGCCATTGAAAAGCATCCAGTATTTTTTATGGGTGAAATGTTTATCAATGTCAATCTTTCATTTGCAGGCATTAAAATCACCCATATTCACATCAGCTAACTGGCCACTCTTCAAAATGCCAGACAAAAAAAAAATTACTCCACTAAACAGTCCCTATCTCACAGTCTATAAATAAATCCATCAACAATTGTGATTGGCTGTCAGTTAAAATTAATAAACCATATGTGAAAATTGTAGGAGTCTACAGATCTACAGACCTGGCTCTGTAGATGCAAGATTATTTATAAATGACATGGACAACATTATGCAAGACTCACCAGGAAAAACTTTTGTGATTGGAGATATGAACTTGGACTTGCTTCAACAAAATACCATTAAAAATGAATATGAAAATACTATTATTGGAAATGGATTTCAAATTATACCTAAATACAAATGAACCTACTAGAGTAGCAAACAACACACAAACAATCATTGATCATGCCCTAAATAACATTAACTCTTCTGGAATTAAAATACAATTCTTTGACATGGATATGATAGATCATAAAATCCAGCTTATTGAAATAAAAAAGAAAAAAGTTGAAAAACACCCTAAAACTACTCTTAGAATGAGAATCCTGAATAAAGTAGTGTTCGAAAAAAAAGCTGTAGAAAAATTACAAAGCAGAGAGATTTACGACTTTGAACAACTTATTCTAATCATGCAAGAGGCTAAGCAAGAATCAACCTCATAAAAAACAATCAAAAACCACTATAAAACTTGGATTACGAATGATTTCTTGACTTTAGTTCAGCTTAGAGACAAGAGACAAGGCATACATAAGACACAAAAAAAAATCCAGGAAACATTAATCTTAAAGAGTAATTTAGAAGACTAAAAAATAGATGCAGCACTCTAAGGAGCAAGCTAAAAAACAATTTCATCACTGGAAGATTTCAGAGTGCAAATGGCAACACGAGAAAAACCTGGCAAACAATAAATCAACTGATTGAAAATCAGTATGCTGATGATAGTAAACCAAATTGCATAGCTTGTATAAATTATAATACCTAATACAAAATTTGAAAACTCCCAAGAAATAGCAGAGGCCCTTAACAGTCTAGAAATAGGAAATAAACTTGGGGAAGAACTGGAAGAAGTTGAGCAGGAAAAAAATCATGTAGGTACAGAATCACAGATTCTTTCCAGAAGAAGTAGAAGAAAAAAAACCATTTTTCTACCGCCTTGTACGCAAGAGGAAATCAGCAACATCATAGATGCACTGAAAAGAAACTGTGCTCCAGGGGCAGATGAAATCACAACTTTGGATCTACAGACCTTAAAAAAATCTTTGTTACCTATACTAGTGAAATTAATAAATGAAATCTTAACCAGTGGTGCCTTTCCGGAATGTCTTAAGGTCACGAAGGTTACTCCAATTCATGAAGCGGGTGTGCAGTCTGATCCAGGGAATAAAAGACCAATCGCCCTCATATCCACTTTCTCAAATATTGTTGAAAAAGTAATAAAGACTTCAAAATCGTGTTATAGTCTAAGGTTATAAAGTGTCTCTATAACCTTCCAAGACATTACCATATGAGAATGTAAACTAATAAAATAAATTCCGAATGGTCAAATAAAATCTAAAATATTACTTAAGAAAAACTGCGACCTGCATAACCATCTAACTAGAAACTGTAACCAAATGTCTCGCCAAATGTATATTCCAAGATCGAGGACAGATGTAGGGAAAAATAGTATAATCCGTTGTGCTTTGGGTTCCTACCATTCCTTATCAACGGAAATTTCAAGAATAACCAAAAAGGTTAAATTATTCTTAATTTCTAATTTCAGAAAATGTATAGAACCAATCTCGAAACCAATTAATTAGGTACCTAAATTCAATTCACTTTTTGTTTAGTGTTCTTTGTTTTCTTATGTGAAGAGATCAGGCGCAATTTTCTGGTTTGTGGACCTCTTTGGCTTTTTTTTTCTTATATATAAGGTAATATATCTATATATATAAGGTAATATCTGGCAGTAAGCAAGATAAAAATAACTATAGGCCAATAAGTCTAATTAGTGTGTTCTCTAAAATAATCGAAAAAATAATTAAATTAAGAATGGTGGCATTCATTCAGAAGTATCTCAGTAGTGATCCCTTTCAATACGGCTTCATTAAGGGCAGCTCGACATTGAGTGCGACTGTGGATTTGATTAACAATATTTCGGTAAAGCTGGATAACCACCAGATAGTAACTGCAGTGTTTATTGATCTAAGAAAAGCATTCGATGTGGTAAGTCATGACATACTACTCGACAAACTAAGGAATATGGGGTTTCGAGGACCAGTAACTAATCTCTTAAGAACCTTTTTAAACAATAGAAAACAGTATGTCAAATTAGACAGCTACTCGAGTGAGATTGAAACTAGTGAGTGCGGAGCGCCCCAGGGGTCAGTCCTTGGGCCACTTCTCTACTCGCTATATGTTCTGAGTTTAAAAAATGCTGGACTCGAGGCCCAATACTACACTTTTGCAGATGACACTCTGTTGCTTTATGGTGCCGAAAAGATAGAAGATCTAGAATTCATAGTCAATGCCGACCTAGATTTGTATACAAGTTGGCTGTTACGTAACAAATTGAAAATTAATATTGATAAAACCAAGTACATATTGTTTAAACAAAAGAATAAAATAACAAGAAGTCCATGCATGATTGGTGCAATATTTAGAATTAGAGATTATGTTAACAAAAAAACCAAAATGTCTATTTATAATTCGTTTTGCCTCTCGCATCTCAGGTACCTTATTCCGGTGTGGGGTACGTGCAGTGTTGCGATTTTCAACAACGTACAAATTTTGCAAAATAAAATATTAAAAATCCTATTTCGATATGACAGATTAACCCATACAGCAAAACTCTACGAGGAGCTAGGTACACTTGATCTGCAGAGGCTGATGAGATTGGAACAGGGTAAACTTATATACAGAATATTGAATAAAACACAAAAATCTAATGTGAATGTTCTATTCAATAACAATGTTTATGAACATAACACTAGATCACGTGATAAAATATATTTAGCCAATGTAAATACAAACAAAGGCCTATGTAACCCCATAACTCAGGCATGCTCCATATATAATAGCTTACCTATAAGTATTAAAACTATCGGAAGGGAAAGTAGGTTTATTAAGGAACTGAAATTACATTGCAGTCACTAGGTGGATAAGGCTCAATTTTGTATATTTGCCTAAATTTTTGTTTTTTTCTATTGTTATTGTTTTTACCTATAATAGTTTAGTCCCGTTGCTTAAATAGTCAGGAAACCTTAAGACCAGCGCGTTCAGCACTGATTAAAGGTGTAATATTTATTGAAATTGTAAATTTATCTTGTTTAATAAAGAATTTTCAAAAAAAAAAAAAAAAAAGTGAATACATGTTTGCTTTTTTTTTTTTGGAAATATGTTCAGTCAAATATTTAGTGAAGTATAGCTCATATAATTTGAATGCTTTATTTATGTTTGGAGAAGATTGTTATCATTAGTTATTGTACCTAGGTACTACCTTAAACCTACAACTGTAAATTAAATTAATTAGCGAGTTAATTAGTTTAGGACTTGATACAAGTATGCCAATGTACTGTTTAAAGTTCAGAAATAAAGACTTGCTCAAAAAAAAAATTGTTCGGGAGCGCTGAAAATAACTTGTTTCCGGTTTCAGGTCTGTTATAAGTTTCACTACAGAACAAAAAATCACTCCAAAATATTCTGCGAGTGTTTTTTTAGGCCATATCCTAGGTCATATCACAAAAGAAATCGAATATACCTACATATTATTATTATTTTTTTAAAAACGTCATGCAAAGGGCTAGGAAGTAATTTTGAGGGGCATAATCTAGGTTGAACAAGCTGGTAGTGGTAATAACCCCAAAAAGGGATAAGTTGAGGTTGGCAACACCGAGGGGAATACTGGATGTTTATTTGACTTGTGCACATAATCACAACCTAAAATAGTGGTGAGGATTTGCTTAAACATTAGAATTTTGAAGGAATATACTCGAGAATACATAGGGCATACATAATATACATTAGATTACATGAGAAAATAAGAATACATGGGATTACATGAGGCTTGTACACTGGAATTTGTTTCTTCTATTACAGAGCTTTCAAGAAACAATCTCAATATTTTTTAGGTACTTACCTATGGTAAGATAAATTGGAGAACAATTTTCAGTAGGTAAGCATAAGCATACAAAAAAAGCTTGACATGAAGATTCACAAAATATCCAAACTTAAGGTGGCCATATTGAAGATAAGTAGGGAAAATACAAAATGAACATATTATGAGTTTTGTGCTGGCTAAGATAAGAGCCATTATAACTAGTTACAACAGGGAAAACCAAAGATATTTTTAAAATTGTTAAAATGTGACCAAATAAATGATCTGGGATGTTCATGTATCTTACTTTTAGTCTGATATATTATGATATAATGAAAGAAAATTATGCCTACCTAAATTTTCCAACTTCATTTTGAAAAGAGGAACCACATTTGGACATACAAGAATCCAATACGTTTAAAATTGAAAGAACTTCTTTTTCAGTTCCCACTGGTAGACGAGCTGCTATAACTTTTATACCCAAGGTAGAGCCATCCCTTTCCTTATTGATTAGAGCAAAAAAGGCATTTAGGGCTGCCACGTCCATGATTGAATTGTTAGGATTTGTTGCTCTCACTAAAAACAGAAACAAGTTGGTAGGTATTGCTTCAGCATTTAGGTGGGTAACAAGTAGTATGGAAATACTTACACAAGAGGGACTCTAAGCTAATTTGTGTTACATTTGCCATGATTTAATTCTTCCAATTAAGAGATTTTTGCCAATTAATTTATATTCACAACAGTTAAATAATTACATTTTTATAATGTTTAATGTAAACAAAATCACCTCTCACCACCCACCTCACCGGCTGTCGGTCTGTCAATCGTGACTAGAGACGACCGCTAGCTAGAGCTTACTCTATGACTAGAGCAAAGTATCGATTGTATTCACTATCGAAATTTATCGATAGTAGTTCTTGTAATAGAGAGTTCTCGTGTCGTCGTCGTCCAAATTTCAAATACCGTAACGCTATTTGACAAGTATGTCAGTTCTTACGGTATTAAGGGCCCCATACACTACGGTGAAACACGACGGTTTTCACCGCCGCGAGGAAACACGTCGTGCCAAAACCGAAGTGTGTGGTAGAAAACCGTCGTGTTTTTCTACCACACGGAGCCCGTTATCTAACGGAACTTAGCGGTTGCCTTACCGTAACGCTATGCTATGTCAAAACTAGTTTACGCTCCATATATGTATACAGAAACAGCAACTTCCAATAATTCCTCCATAAAAAGCAAAAGCACCAAGGGAAAATTAATCAAACTCAGGATAAATAAAAGTTAGAAAACAAGCAAAAAAGTTGGGTTAGATCACTCAACTCAGCTGTCAAAATGTAACCAGAATAAGGGATTAGAGGATTTATGTGTCTTCGTGTGCGAGAACTATAAAATGCCATGTGAAATACCGTATTGTTAGCGGTAGCGTATTAGCATAGCGTTTGAGGCACGAGAACTTTCTAATATCGATAGTGTCTAGGTCAAAAAACGATTTCCTAAACGTTAAAATCTTGTTAAAATCACCTTTTCTACATTCAAAATAGACGAAAAAATTAACTCACAAGCACAGCATCACACGCATTCCATCGAGGCCAACGGGTGACGTCACCACTAATAGCTGCCTAATGGCGATGACGCCATTCGCCTTGAGGATGAGCCAGTGGCGTAGCCAGGATTTTGTCTTGGGGGGGGGGGGGAAATTTGCAGGAAGCGTCTCTTACGGCCCTACCGCAACCGCTGCCGGAGGCAAAGCCCCGCAGGCGCGAAATTTTTGGGTGCCACGCCCCTTTTTCAGGTTTCTTTATGTTATTTTTGGGACTGTTTATCTTAATTTTGAAGAAATATTCATAAGATTTAAGGGTCTTGGGGGGGGGCAAATGCCCCCTTGCCACCCCTGGCTACGCCAGTGGGATGAGCAGTCCTGTTAGTTTACGATTCTTTGGTAATGGCCTTTCGATTGGTGAATTTAATGCGCACCGAGTTTTCGCATATCTTTCTATTTTTTAACATGAAAACATAAAAGAAGAAATAACCATTCTTGTTTAGAGCCACCCAGTTGATTCCCTGCTTGGCATATTTGCCTTTTTTTTTCAAGTTAAATGGCGCAACGTCAGCCAGCAGATTCAAATACAGGGATGAATTTTCGAAATCCCGCAATCACTAGAGGCGTTTTCTCGCGTCCAATTTTTTGAAACTGGTTCAAAACTGTTTTGAAACAGTACATTCTCGCGATAAACCCATGACGTCACGTCAAAACTGGTTCAAACCGTTTCGAAATACAATCCAATCCACGTTTTCAAACCATTTTCTCGCACCGAGAAATTATGACGTCATGGTGACATTACTTAAACCAGTTTTGAAAAATGTTTTGAAACATTTGATACGCCAGAAAACGCCTTAGGAGTGCGTTCGAAATCAGTCTGGGCGTCACACCAGCCGTTCGAAAATAAATTGGTATAAACTCCGGTTGACTTTCACGCTAGTTCGAAATATCCGGGGTGCTAACTAAGTACAGTGCGCGAGGTCCAGAAGATGCTCTGTATCACTCGGGGCTTTGTTTTTGATACGTTGGGTCGCATCGAACAAATTCCAGTGCGATACAGAGCAACCTCTAATTTTTTGACTAGTCAATAGAATCGCGCATATACGACTTTAATACCTATCTTCAAGCAATCAGCAAAATATAAGCGTAAGCATTTATTGTTAGATATTTATTAGCAACTAATACCTACCTGCCTTCATATATCCGTAAATCTATTCATGTAAAATCCAGAATAAACGCGATAATCCGATGTGGCGGAGGCACACATAAATTCTGTTACACTGCCCTCCTCTTAAGATTGATTGTCCCGAGTCCCGATCAACTTCACGTTCATGATAATATTTCATCAGTCTGTCTAGATGTACAACTTTCATCTTACTCCTGAGGCGCGTTCAGATTGAACGTCGGACGCGCCCGGCAATCATTTATCTCTTTATCTTAAGGAAAACAAATAAAAAGGATGGAGATAACGCCGGACGACGCCCGACGTTCAATCTGAACGCATACCTGGTGTTGCACTGAACTCGATAAACCAAATCATTGATTCTCTTGATTATTCTGTAGGGTCCTTTCCTTGCTGAAGACAATTGTGGTGACACTCCTTTCTTTCTTGTCGGATTATACAGCCACACTAAATCACCTTCTTGAAATCTGGCTGAATTGGCTTTCAAGTCGTATCTGGTCTTCATTCGGTCACTAGCCAGCTGAATATGCTCCCGGGCAAAATCATGGATCCCCAGAAGTCGTGCCCTTACTTCGTCAGCATAATCTCGAATTTCTTTTCGTTCTTCTGCAGGTATTCCAAACATCAGATCGCAAGGTAACCTGAGTTCCCTTCCAAAAACGATCCTAGCTGGACTTTCACCTGTTGATTCGTGAACATCAGCTGCTCTGTAAGCTAGTAAAAATAGAGGCAAGTGTTTGAAATCCCAATCTCGCTGGTTCTTTTCGACCACTTTTGTCAGGTCTATGGTCCTATTAATCGTTCTACCATGCCATCAGACTGTGGCTGTAAAGGTGTTGTCCTTGTCTTACGAATTCCCATGATCTCACGAATTTTTTTGAAGATGGCATATTCTAAATTTCGTCCCTGATCTGAATGTAACTCTAGTGGCACACCATGACGACTGAAAACTTCGTCCACTAGCACGTGGGCAACAGTGATGGCTTCTTGATTGAATATAGCGAAAAGTTCTGGCCGCATTTACTGAGGTAATTCATGATAACCAAGATGTATTTGTTACCACGCTCTGACTCAGGAAACGGTCCGGCAACATCTATCGCTATGCTTTCAAATGGGAGACCGGCGTTGTACTGTTTCATGGGCCCCCGAGATCTTAGTTTAGGGCCTTAACTGGTAGCATAGATGTCGCATTTTCGGCACCAGTTTTTAACGTCTCCATGATAGTGAACCCAGTAAAAACGTTCCCGAATTTTGTCCAAAGTCTTGTTAACTCTAAAATGTGCTCCTGGAGTTCCGTCCCATCGGCACTTTCCGATACTCTTTTAAGTAAACCATTTTCTACGGCCAGAGAGTTCCATTCTGGCCTACATTCATTATTTTCCTTAAGATGTAGCATTTCTCCGATGCCGTGGTCTGCTTCTTGATCTGCTCTCATTTGTTTGGTAGTCCATTTATCATCGATGATAAGACCCGTTCTTCTCACAGCCGGACCAGTGTTTTTCGATCGATTCTTTTACAATGCTTGCAGTCTTTTTTGCATGGCCCTCTAGACAGAGCATCAGCATTTTTGTGAAGGTTTCCAGGTCGATGATTAATTTGGAAATCGTATTGTTGCAATTTCTCAATCCATCTAGCAAGCTGTCCTTCGGGAGTTTTCATTTCTAAAAGCCATTTCAGAGCCGCGTGATCTGTTCGAATTAGAAACTTACGGCCGTAGAGATACCCATGGAAATGGTCGACTGCTTTTACTATGGCAAGCAACCCTCTTCTGGTGACACAATAATTTCATTCCGTCTTTGATAAGGTTCTGCTGTAGTACTCTACTACATGCTCGTGTGAATTTTGGACTTGTGAAAGGACAGCTCCAATATTGGTGTTGCTTGTATCTCTGTCCAAAATCAATATGCCTTTCGGATCGGGATAGGACAACACTGGGCTCATACCTAATGCTCTTTTTAATTTTCTGAAAGCGGAATCGCATTCTATTGGTCCAATTGAATGTTGATTTTTTTTCCGTTAATCAATGAAGCGGAGCAGCTATATTGGCGAAACCTTCCACAAATCTTCGATAATAAGAACATAATCCTAGAAAACTCCTTAGTTCATGTTTGTCGCGTGGCTTTGGCCAATCCCTGACAGCATCTATCTTTCCTTCCATAACTTGTATGCCATCTTCAGATACCACGTGACATAAGAATTCCACTTTCTTTTGAGATAGAAAACAGTAATTTTTTTGGATTGAGTTTTAATTTGGCATTCCGCAAGCGGTCAAAAACTTTCTTTCAGGTTATTGAGATGTTCTTGAAACGAATTTCCCATGATCATGACATCATCTAAATATACCAGGCAAGTTCTTCATGTAAGGCCTCGTAAAACAAGATACATGAGTTGCTCAAAAATAGCTGGAGCATTACACACTCCGAAAGGCATTACGTTAAACTGGTATTGCCACTTGCTAGTATCCACTTTTGAGATCCAAGGTGTAAAACCATTTGGAGCCCGATAGAGTTGTTAATGTATCGTCTATTCTCGGGACAGGCAAGCTGTCCTTCTTGGTGACGTCATTAAGCTTACGGTAATCCACACAAAATCTAAGACTTCCATCTTTCTTAGTAACCAACACTACTGGCGCAGATCATGGACTATTCGACTCTTCAATAGTTCCCTCTTGAAGCATTTTATCAATTTGGTTTTCCCCTTCCTGTTGTTTAGATACTGGTATACGTCGAGTTGGATGTCTTATTGGGTGTGCCAATCCAGTATCAATTTTGTGTTGAATTAAACTAGTCCGTCCGGTTTGATTATCCATCACGACCATCACAGAGATGTCTGCTTCTTTTAAGATGAAATCTGTAGCTTCTTGAAGTCTATCTGGATCGATGAGGTGTTTCCATGATTTCTTCAAAGTCTGCATCAATATGTGTCTGTATCCAATTTCGGTTTCACAAAATGTCGCTTATCTGGTAGGTCACAGTTGGATATTTGCTCAACTGGTTCATCGAGAGTTCCAATAATATCTCCTTTTATTTTTACTGTTTCAGAAGAAACATTGGCAATTCTTATCCCAATGTCTCCCTTTGTTCTTACTAAACCGGCCTTTATATATCCGTAAATCTATTCATGTGAAATCCACAATGAAACGCGATAATCCGATGGCCGAATAAAGCAGAACTTACTAGATTTTTTCTGGAATTTTGGCATGTATTCTAGATACCGTGGCGGAGGTGCACATAAATTCTGTTACAATATCCCAATAATCATAGGCATAGAATCCGCGGTCATGAGCTAATTTTTGTTGCTGTGCTTCATTTTGACACTCTATCACAACTCCTCCACTTTTAAACTGAGTTACATTTTTAAAACTGCTATTATCATCGGTTTTGCTGAAGCTCTTTTTGATTTTTTTGTAAAACTTGCCTTGGGTTTTGTTGATCTTTAATTCGTATTGCTGTGTGTTAGTGTGTGCTTGGGCACTAAAAACGGTGGAATACTAGGAGCGGTTTCGAAACACGTCCGACGTACGAGACATTCGAATCTCGATAACATCCAGATTTAGTAATTTTTCTATTTCATTTAGTAATTTAGGTAACAATGGCAATGGGACTACTCTAGGAGTGCTCTGTATAAGTGTTTTATATGAGCTCCTGTGTCAACAAGAAACGATACAGTTTTATCAAATTCCACTACTTGTTGTAGTTGACCTAAAACTTTATTCTCGTCATTTATGTCATCCACGGAATAGTCAAAATTTAAGTTTTTAACAATTCTGTGATTTTGCTTTGAATTACGACATGCCTTATCCCAATGTCCAAGGTTAGAACACTTACCACACCTGCTATTCCTAGCTGGACATGCATCTCTTCCATGGTTACTGTATCCACAGAATCGGCACAATGACATAAGCTCATCATTTCTGGTCTTGGATTGTTGTGAAGGTACGAAACTTTGTCGTTTTCTGACAGGTTGACAAATTTGGTTTTTTGTCTCAAAATTATGCTTTGCTGCGTCTGAATTTCAGCTTGTTTAGTGAAAAAAATGGCTTGATCAGGTGTGAGTTGACTTTGTAGCTGAAGTCTTTCCCTCGTACAGCTATCAGACATGCCAACTACTATTCGGTCACGTATTAACTCATTTTTCGGGCCACCAAATTCACAATTTGGATATGCGAAGCAGTTAAAAAAGTTTCAATGTATTTCCCCAGCAATTGATTTCTCGAGTTAAATTGATACATTTCAAAAAAATTATTTTTACGAGGAATAAAATGATCTGTAAAAGCTTTTTCCATAAGCTCAAAAGTTACTGGTTTTATAGCAATCTGAATTGAAATTTCTTCACTCTCTGCTCCCATTATATACAAGAAGGAATTAATTTGATCTTGTTCAGACTTACTTGAGAGCCCAGAGACAGACCTGTATCTCTCGTACCTTTTTGACCACTGAGAGCATCCAGCTGGATTGCTGAAGTAGAATTTTTCTGGATGGGTCACCACAATAGATTCTCTGACAATAGTCTCTGCCGTGCTTGCTCTTTAAAGGTCTCCAGAAGCAAAATTTATAGATTATGTAAATACTAACTTGGTTTTACCGCTGCCACCATGTTGTACTATATTATGAAAAAGACGTAGGGTTTGTTAAGAACTTTATTTTATGAGCGTGTATAATCCAACCCTATTACTTCTGACTGACTGTCATGTTGCTGACTCTAATCAGCGACTGGTATTATATTAATACCTATACAGTGTGTCACACAACAAAACAGACTATTATTGGTGTTTTATTTTATTGCACAACTCAGGAAAATAAAATAACTACTTACTATAATCAGAAAAATATAATAATAATAAAAACAGAAAAGTATAATAATTCTTTGTGACTCGAAACTTAATAATAACTATTCAAACCTAAAAGTAATAATTTTCAGACTAAGGTAATGGATTTATTCAAACAATATTGTAATTGTATTGACATTTTTCCTGAAGTTGTTAGAGATAATGAAACAACCTATTTATTATTGTCCAACCCATATAATTGAACAGACAACAACAACAAGAAATAAAGAAATTGAAAAAAAAATAAAGTTAAATCCTATATTGAAACTTAATAGTACCTATTGTATTCAAGTTTACAACTTGAGTTTATTGATAAACGTATTGCTTTTATTCAACCAATATTGTAATTGTAAAAATAATTTTCCTCAACTTCTTAGAGATCGAGAAACATTTTTTTTTTGGATTTATGAAAATCTACAATCCAAAGAAATTCAGCAAAAAAAAAAAACAGAAGAGTAAAATTCCAAATAACGTAACTTGAAACATAATAGTAACTATTCAAACTCAAAACTAATAATTTTCAACCAAAGGTATTGTTTTTATTAAACTAATATTGTAGTTGTGTCAACAGTTTTCCTGAGGTTGTTAGAAATAATGAAACAATTCTTATTGTGCAACCTCGGAATATTGAACAGCTACAATCTAAAGAAATTGAACAAAAAAAAACAGAAGAATAAAATCCTAACTTAAAACATAATGGTAACTTAAAACTAGTTAATTCAAACATATTGGTTTGATTCAATTATTATTATGGCGAGGCATTACCATTGTTTTGTGTGTCAACAATGTCCCTGAAGACACTAGCCTTAAATATCGTTACTCGTCTAAAAGGAACCCACTGTTTTTCTTTAGGCAACCAATCGGCAAATACAAAATCACTTTCGTCTTCTACGTTAAAGTCAAATGTCCATTTCGCCTTTCTATAGAAGAGTTGTTCCTCTTGATTGGTAAAAATCTGCCGTCTTCTACCTACAAAATTTGTTAGTCAATATTGCAATAATTTTAAAGGTAATTTTATGATAAGAAAATGAAACCTTATTCAATTCAAACTATCTAGTACTATCTAGACAATGGGCGGTGCAGTGGTTCAAAATGATTAAATTGAATGTTTGTTTGATTGGTTACTGTAGTTTCTATAGGTAATTTACAAATAACCACCATTTTTGTTTATTATTTGACTTTGAAGGATGGGTGCATTCATTATTTGATAAAAAAAAATTTAAAAGTAATATTTGAGTTACGTAACTACTTACAGTCGTACATGAAATATTTTATGTAACGTAGGCGCAAATGATGTTTGAGGTCCTTTGCGGGGTTTCCAGTGTTTGTAATTTATTGATACAAATATACAAATCCCAGTAAAAATACTTACCCACTTTTGGTCTTATAGTTTTACTGATAATAATCAGATAGTCAAAGTCATAGGCGTCATTTGTCTTCTTCACTTCATCAATATCATTCCTCAGAGCATGGAACATTGGTACTGATACGTCTCTAGGAATATTTACAAGTCTCTCATGTATAAGGAAGCCTTAAATTATTTTATTTTACACCTGTGAAATTAAGAAATTAAATATATACCTACCGATTTTATAGTTCTGCTGTAATATCTTTGTGATCGCCTCTTTATCTTTTTCGCGAGCATGCTGGGCAGTTAATCTTTCCAACAATGAATACAATTGCTTTATGCAGAAATTTTCCTTGTCTGCTGTCAAGTTCAGAACACTTGTTACAGCAAAAACAGTATTTTCATCGTATACGGCCATGGACTCTTCACTGAGATCCTAAATGAGGAAAGTAAAATTAATCATTAGGCTCCATATATGTAATTATATTATATGGGATCATACCTTTATAATTAAGGAGCCAATACCAATTTGTCCAATTAACATATCTGTTAGTTGACCAAGATCGATGTCAGATTTTAAAAACAGCTGCTGTAATAGTTCTTTTATTCCATGAGAGTAGTCGGATCCCAAAAAACGATAGTCAAAAGATTCTGGAATCTAAAGAAATTGTTATGTATTTGCGGACTTTTTTGTTTTGTTCAAGAAACCAAACAGCTGATACAGCTTTAGAGCTTCTTTAAACTTGCACTATCAAAGCACTCACATAATATAATTTAGATCCTTGATAAATGGGAATTTTTAAGAAAAGAAATGGCATGGACTTTATACGAGATTCATGAGAAACTTTGCGAAAATAACGAAACAATAGGAGCAATAGAGGCTTCGAAGGCAAAAAAAAGTTGCTCAACCATAGAGAAGGAGCTTCTCGCAGTGGTGCGGGCCACCAAATACATATTTTAGATTCTACATACCTATTAGGCATAAAAATAAACCTAATGACCGATCATAAGCTCCTAGAAAGGCTATAGCCTTAAATTGTCAAGATTGAGAATAAATCTACATCATTACGATTATAACGTTACCTAAATTTGATATAAGAAGGGGTAACTAAACTCCAATGCAGACGCCTTATCAAGAATCGAATTACATACAAAAGAGACTCAGGATATTTCACCACCCAAGGAATCAGCGCCCGACTTTAAACGCCTATTGGTAAGCCGCTGTACGTTTTGCCTAAATGCATCTAGCACCATGAAGCAATAGCACAAGAACCACCTGTGGAAGAACCACTTAATGACAATATAAAAGTACATACAAATAATAACGAATACCCAATTTTCGGAATCCCTATACAAGACATAGGTACCAATCAATTATCAATATCTTCCATTTCACACACAATAATTTTATATAAAAATAATTTTAATCAAGGCTTACTAAATTTTGACAGAGCTGATTGGTCCTGATAAACAGTATAAATCTATACTTTGAAACAGCAGATTTGTATGAACCAGAGTATGAACCTTTTCGCAAAGTGATGACCTTGAAAAGGCACTAAAAAATGATACGATGTCTAGAGGAATTAAGTGATGTAAAAAGTACTGATAAAACATAGGATAATACGGAATATTTATTATGATTGAAAATTACCACAAAACCTCATAATAAAAACAAATATTACTTAATCTTCAGTACTACTATCAGAAACATCTCAGATATTTCACGGTTTCGAAGCCATTTGAGGAGCACTCTACTTCAACATGCCTTTTATACAGTTCATGAGTTTCTAAATGTCTCTATATAGGACTAAAGCCTTCCTGCTTCTGTTGCATGCATGTTATATTTTGACATAACTGTCGTTGTATTTATCCTAGTCTTGAATTTGCCTGTCATTTGTTTGTTGCTTATCTTTTTTTGGACCATTTACTAACTTATTTATTTTTTGTGCACAATGTTAATGTTATTTACTGACTGGATTTTAATCTTAATTTTAATATTAGTATGTAAAAATGCTTTGTCAATAAGATTTTTTGTTCTTTGACAATAACGCTTGTTTTGAATTGAATTGAATTGAATTTATTGACAAAATTGATACTTAAGTTATATTATGTAGTAGTGTATTTTTCGTAGTTTTAGTTTTAGTTTTAGGTAGATTCTAGGGATTCTGTTATTTATTTATTTTATTTATTTATTTATACTCATTTAAAACACAAGAATTTTTGTAGTTACATTAAAAGAGTGCTTACTGCCAATACTAACCTATATGCATATCTATCCTAACATGAAGAAACAAGTGAACAAACAAAGAAAATAAAAAGAGCAATAACATCAACATACAATATGGTAAAACAATTTAAAAACAATTCAAAAAGACTAAAAGTTGGCTTCAAAGGCAAGTTTGATCCTACTTACAGAGGAACTAAAAAAGTCTATATCACATTTTTCTATCACAATATTACATTCTTCCAACATTTTGTTCATTGGCGAACAATCAAACTTATCAGTAAAAAACAGTCGGAAGTTGCCTATCCTTAAGTGCACCTTTGGGACAAAAAAATTAATACTATTTATTAAGGAACAATCTTTGTACTTAATGCTATTTATTATGTTATAAACGAATAGGGCTGAATGCATATTTCTTCTACTGCTCAGCCGAGGTAGACTAAAACAAGTCAACATGCTATTATAGGAGATCATATATGGGTACACATTAAACTTCTTTACATAGAGAAATCTCAGGAATCTTTTTTGAACTTTTTCTATCAGATCACTGCTGGATTCGGCTTTCGGCGCCCATATGACAGATGCATATTCCAAGTGGGGTCTCACTAGTGCATTGTACAATAGTATAATGGTTTCAGTTCTTTTGAAATACTTCGAGTTCCGAATAATGAAGCCAAGTGTTCTGTATGCCTTTCCAACCATAATCTGATAGTGCTCATTGAATTTAAAATTTTGTTGAAAGTGTACCCCCAGATCCCTACAATTACTTTTTCTACATATCACAGAGTTGTCAATTATGTATTCGTTCTCTAGGAGTTGTTTTTTTCGTGTTATTGTAAAAACCTGACATTTAGAAGTGTTGAGCATCATTTTATTATCCTTGAACCACTGACAAGTTGAATTTAAATCGCATTGTAGCTCCTGTGAGTCCCGCAATGTTGAGATCTCCTTAAATATTTTGAAATCATCAGCAAATAGAAGACTTTTTGAGTATTTAACACATCTTGGCAAATCATTAATAAATATAGCAAAGAGAAGGGGACCCAAATTGCTACCCTGGGGCACCCCTGATGTAGGTATAAAAGACTCAGACAGCCTCTTCCCTACTCTAATCTGGTTCAACCTGCCAGAAAGATATGACCCCACATACATACATGCCTTGAAACCAAAGTTAAATTTGCTCAATTTTTGAATGAGTACAGAGTGATCCATCTTGTCAAAGGCTTTGGTACAGTCTGTCAAGATGACATCTTGCTGAGCTTTGCGATTAATAGCCTCTGCTGCTGAGTTTGTAAAAACACACAGATTTGAGACAGTAGACATTCCTGGCAGAAAACCATGTTGTTCTGGGGAGAAGCTTTCTCTAAAGAAAAGCAGAATATTATCATAGAGCAATCTCTCAAATATTTTGGAAACTGAGTTCAGAACACTTATAGGCCTATAGTTCTCAACACAGCTAGAATTGCCAGATTTGTATATGGGAGTAATAACTGCATGCTTCAAGCTAGTAGGAAATTTGCCCTGTTCAATTGACAGGTTATAGATTAGAGCAAGAGGCACTGATAGAGCTCCTGCATATCCCTTAAAAATAGAGGCTGGTACACCATCCCGACCCGTGGCCTTCTTTGCCTTTAACTTTTTTATACTTTGTAGGACCTGTTCTACTGTTATTCTTGAAAAATAAAAAGTCCCCTGACAGTCCAATGTATTCAAATTATTTGATTCTTGAAAAACGGAGCCAAAGTATTTTCCAAAGGCATCAGCAATAGCCCGACAGCCAGCTATACTTTCACCACCATAGGAAACTTCTGATGGAATTCCACTACTCACACCACGAGATCTCACAAAGGACCAGAAACTATTGGGGTCAGTGTGTACATTGTTCTCAATATTTTCATTATAAGACTGGAGTGCTTCCCTACTAAGCCCTTTCACATCGCTTCTCAAGGTTCTGTACTCATTCACAATCGAGAAATCTGCATTACCAGCATTAATTTGCCTATGAAGACGGTTCTTACGTTTAATTTTTGAAACAAGATCACGGGTAAAAAAGACCGGATACCGGCTTGATGCTTTTGATGCTTCTCGTGACTGTTTTTTGGGAACTGATTGATCAATACAGGCGTACAACTTGTCATAGAAGAGCTGCATGCATGCATCCACATCAGAACAGCCCTCCAATTCTGCCCAGTCAGTATCTTGAATCAGTCTATATAACAAGAGAAAATCACCTTTCGAGTAGTCATAAATAAACGACTTTTTTATGCAGTCCATGGTTGTGTCAGAGAAATGGATTATCACTGAGAGCTCGAGAGAAGCATAGTTATAGCAAAGACGTTATAGTAACCCTTACTTGTCATTATCAACTTGCTTGATGTTTGTAAGATGTACCATAAATAAATAAATAAATAAATAAATCTATTCCAAATATAACAATTCGTCGCTGTCAGTACGAAGGGGCCTATCTCAATATTTGGCGAAAATGAGTTATTCCCATAAAAATACTTAAAAGAACCATATCTATATTGTGACGAACTGGCATATCTCCATAATACACCGTGTGGCCATTATTCAATTTTAGCGGCATATCTGCTTTGTCAAACAGTCAAACATTTCTTTCTGTTATTACGAACAGGCCTATCTTCTTAATAATTTATTAACAGAAAAAGTCCAATCTTTTCTTTCAAAAAAGATATGTCTCAATATTCTAAGTATACTTTTGTGTTATATGTATATGAAAAAACAAGTTCTGATACTGAATTATATCCAGCGCTACAGACAAAATGAACAGTAGAGTTTTCTTCAAAACGCTCTCCTGAAAAGTTGTTAAATCAGAAATTGGCCACTTCGTAATGACAGCGATGAATTATACAGTGAAGCAGCTGATTATTTGAAAACAAAGTTAGCACAGAATCAATATAAAATAAATAGGACAGTTAATTCCACACCCTGATTAAAGAATAAAAAAATCGGTTCAGTTGATGTTGTAGGCTCTGCTTTCAAGGCTGTAACTGGAAATTTTGATGCCCCTGATATCAAGCGCTACAAGAAATTTATCCAAGATTTACAAGAAAATTAAAATAAATTAGTTGGCAATGTAGCAACGTAACCAAAATTCGATCTCCACAAGCATTCATGAAATCAGCAAAGTTGTCCAAAAAATGAACTATTAAGAAAACATGTTTTTCATTAGATATTTTTAATCAAGTCATTAATGTATAATATGAAATAAATTATTTGATTCTGCATGATAAAGAGAACCCTATCGCTTTTCAAAATTTCATCCAAGCATATTATTTAAAATTAAAAATAACTTTTCTAAAGAACCTAGAAAAGTTCAAAAAGCTGTACTTAGGTCCCAATCAATTGCCATTGGGTCTGTAGCGAGGTCTGTAGACTGAGAAATCAAATTGAATCAAAAAATACTTGTTCTTGTTCACAAAGCATGTTACATAAATGCATTCTCCAAAGCAAAATAAAATTATAAATACAATTCAACTAAGTACTAAAGCTAAAGCCTTGGCTAAAGCTAAAAAAAATATTAAAATTTTTGAAAAAACCATTGATGTTGATTACGTATTTTATTTCAAATAACAAAGAAGAAACCACAATTCCTAAATACCAACAATAAAGGCAACATCTAAAACTACATGGGATCTACTTAATAACTTGTTGCTTGGGTGACAAGTAAAAATAATAGTTTAAGCTCGAGAATTAGGTAGGTACTGATTTTTAACAATTAGAAGATGAATTACAAGAAATCAAACTGAACGAGCGGCATAAAATCTGAAATAAAATAGAAATTTCAAAAAACCTTGGATATTCATCCCCAAAATTTTGAAAACACCTCAGAAAACACCAATCCTTCGAACTCCGACTGGATATAAACAGCAATAGGTAGGTACCTGTGTGGAAATATGTAATCCAAAAACGGTATAAAAGAAACCACCAGGACAGAGATCCAGACCCATATTCTACACTCACCAATAGTTATTTGGATGTAGGAATTTTGTGAGGGTCGGACGCTGAGGCAGCAGTATCAGATGTTGGCTCAGACCTATCATAGAATCATATAGGGTGACCATTTGAAAAGAAGCAATCGGAAATATCTCTTAGACAAAAAAATACTTTCAGGAAGATCTGAAATGCATATCGGGTGATTGGAGGGGAAACCAAAATGATGCACTTTTTGAGTCACCCCGCCCTTATTTTTTTCAATACGAAGCTACCTTGTGTTGCACATCGTTGGATAGCTCGTTGCTATCCCTTTACAGTGCTATTAGTCTGTCGGATAGCTCCTTCTAGGATGCATTAAAAAAAAACTTCCAACCAAATGGGACTTTGCCCATTTGAAAAAGGATATTTTTTCACATAAGAAATGGAAATTGAGACACTCTCCATTGGTCCAGATGAAAGATATAGGCAAAAAACTGGATAAATATTGAATATAGTTCTTTTTATTTTGAACTCGCATAACTTTTGTTCAGAACAAGTTTTTTTTTAGTTCGGTTCTTCATTCAATTTTATTTCTTTTGGTGTATATTTATTTTCAAAAATTCATTCGACAAGTTGAGAAAAACAATAATATTAAACAAAAGGCAAGAAATTGCTAATATTTTTTCAAACTTACCTTGCCGTAACTTCCTTACGCCAGGTATTATTCTACTTTTTCTTCAACCAAAAACTGCGCAATTCAATAAGCTCTATTTAGTCTCGATAAACAATGGGTCTATTTTTTTAAATAAAAGCAGTAGAGGCATTATTTGAACGTAAAGGCCCGCGCTACGAAAACCGGCTCAGTGACCCTTCCTAGTCTTCCCCTCGTGCCCTCGCGTTCTCCGCGGCCACGTTAAAATTACGTAAACAAAAACTTTGATAATAATTAAAACGAAATGGAATAAATATAGTTAACAACCATGCAATCTTCTTTTTTTAATATAACAGGATGAGTTCAATTGAATATTTGTTGTTTCTTTTGTATGTTGTTATATTTTTGGGTTTTCTTATTTATCCCTTCTTTATAATTGTTTGTTATTATGAAGATATTTATTTGTCTCTTCCACTTTTTTTTTATTTCTTCCTCTATATTACATCACAAAATTTCAATTATTGTTCCTTCCTATGAAAAGCTGTACAGATAGGATTCAGAGTAGAACAATTTTTATGATACATTTCCCAGTGCATTTTTTTCCAATTTTTAAAAATGAGCTGTTAGTATCATCTCCAGAAATGCTGTGAAACTTGGTAAACCTTCGCATCCAAATTTGCCCATGTTTTTTAAAATAGCGTGAATGAGAATGTATCGTTTTTCATTAGTGGTGATATTTGTGTGACCGGCTTACATGAATATTTCATTACCTATTATCAAAGCTCATATGAATTAAAAAAAAAAAATTCAAATAATCTATACCATTAGTTAAAAGTTTTTATTATTAATATCTTTAATTATTATTTACATAATATACATACCCACAAATAAAACAACGAATATTCAATTGAACTCATAATAAGTCCTGAAGAAGAAACAAAAAAAGTTTTGAAAGCTTGACATTACACATATAACAGTTAAACAATATAATTCTTCGCATGCAAATTTGCTAACGTTTTTTGAAATAGTGTGAATGGGAATTTTTCGTTTTTATTAGTGGTGATAGTTGTGTGAATATTTCATTATTATTGAAAGGTTAGTGGGTAGAATAGAATAATAATAAATAATTAATACCAAAACATCAGTATCATCACAGTTAACTACAAGCTTTCCATTTATATTTGCCGATAACATGTGAAAAATAATTCTGGTTTCTGCTTCTTTGTGACTGCAATGAAGATTTGTAATGAATTTGTATGTATGTATTTATTTGGGATGAATCAAAACCACACAAAACACACAATTTTCTACAAAAATCATCATAATAATCCCTGAATCCCTATTCAAATAAATAGACTTCGAGAATATTGAATATTAATATTCTTAAATTATTAATAGTCTAGCCATTGGATAGACGCGGGGTAGAGCAGTAGTCGCTGTCGAGTACGCTGCCGCTGCACACGTTTTCCTACGTTCAAAAGTCTCCACAGGGTTTATTTTAGAAAATAGACCCAACATTAATCGAAACCAAATGAAGCTTATTAAATTGCGCAGTTTTTGGTTAAAGAAAAAGTAGAATAATACCTTGCACAAGGAAGTTACGGCAAGGTAAGATTTTAAAAATATTAGCGATTTGTTGCCTTTTTTTTAATATTGCTGTTTTTCTTAACTTGTTGACTGAATTTTTGAAATTGATTATACACCAAAAGAAAGAAAATTGAATGAGGAATCTAACTAAAAAAAACTTGTTTCTATCTTGCTTTGATCAAAAGTTATGCGGGTTCGAAGTAAAAAAAACTATATCTATTATTTATCCAGTTTTTTCCCTATATCTTTCATCTGGACCAATGGAGAGTGTCGTCAATTTTCATTTCCTATGTAAAAAAACATGCTTTTTCAGATGGTAAAGGTATCATCTGGTTGGAAGTCACTTTTTTCAACTCGAAAACTAGAAGGCTTTTGGCGCTCCATCCGACGGACTATATAGCAAAATCTTAAATCTGACGATTAGTTTTTGAGATATTGGTGTTTGAAAACTAGTAATTTTGACTATTTCTTAGACAAAACAATTGTGTCATAAAAGTCTCAAATACACATGAGAGAAATCAAATGTGTTTATTGACTAACCCCCACCAGTCTTTTCTTGGGGGCTAACCCCTATTAATTTTTATAAAATGAGAACCTAACCCGTGTGATATGTTTTTTGAAAGGTTTTTTTATTCCTCTTTAGAGACGTGCAGAAGCAGATAGAATTATGAATAACACAACATTCGAGACTTTTATGACAGTATTGTTTTGTCTAAGAGATGGTTTCCCCAGTGGTTTCCCCTCCAATACCCTTATTCGTATTTGAGATCTTCCAGATAGTATTTTTTGTCTAAGGCCCGGTTTATTTATCATCAGATACACTTGCTGGTAACTATCTGCAAGATTAATTTACTGTTATATAATTCTATTGGTCAGCGGATAACTGGTCGACCAATGGGATTACAGGTCGCATACCTGAAAGTTTATCAGAAGGACAGAAGGTGAATCAACCACCTCATAGATATTTCCGATTGCTACTTTTCAAATTGTCACCCTGTTTATTTAGCAGCAACCATAATTCGAGCCATAATTATTATTTTTTGGTGTTGGGTAATTCACCACAGCATCATTATCCATATAGTTTCTTGCTTCAATGTATATTTTGTGCAAATTAAAACACCGGTTCCCTAAGGGCCGGTTTCTTAATAGCGAGTCACCTCTGTCTGGGTTGGTTTTAACTCCAGGGTAAGCATGTCCAGTTGCTATGTTTACCCTGGAGTTATACTTAACCCTGGGGGTGACTTGCTATTGAGAAACCGGCCCTAAAAGTACATCGCTATTTGCAGTTTATGCAGGTTCGAAAAATTTCAAACACAACACAATAAAATCAATTATTTTGAAAAGCCGGTTCCAATTCAACAGCAGTCAGTCAATTGATGTACAGCAGTATAAATTTAGTTTTTGGTTGTAATGGCAACTAGCAGAGAGACTGAATAGGTCATCATTTTTCTTATACTTTAAACAACTTCATAGGATAGGTTCTGTTTAGTGCTTTGATTGTTACTTACTGAGTTACTTACCAATTCGTATTTATATTCTTCGCTCACCGGCTCATTTACAAATTCTAGCGTCTCAGTCTCGTTTTTTTTTGGTTTTTTACTTGGGGTAGCCATTTCTCTTGTTATTTAAGAAAAAAATCAAACGATGGCAAAAGCAAAAACAAATACGACTCAAATACACATCAAAATGTACAATGGACGCCAACGGAAACTTCGCGCTTCGCGGGCTTCGCTAATGAAATAAAAACTGAGGTTGGGAATGTTGGAATTGAAAACGGTAGAACGTGTAAAGGTGGGCCCACACTTGAAAATTTCAATCTGAACGAATAGAACACGCTGAACGAACACATCGAGCAAAGGTTCGAGTATTTATTGTCCTGAATCCTGCACTGGCTCTGAGCTGCTCATATCGTAAAAGTGCAATTCTATTTTGGAGTAGAGCGGAAGGTGTTAAGCCTAGTTCTCATGGAGCGGAAAATCGCGTTGCGGGTGCGGAATATTGCTTTCTGTTCAAAGAGTAATTTTTGCCGAATCACATGGTGCGAGATTTCGGAAGCGGATTTTTAGTTATATGTAGGGAATTTTTCACATATTATAGGGCCGGTTCATCAATAGAGGGTTACCCCACGAGTTACGGATAACCGCGGGTCAACGTTGTGACAAGTGATTATCCATACGGGGTCAACTGCTAACTCGAAAGTTATTCCAGGAAAAAGTTGACCCGCGCTCATAGTAGAGTGCTCGTTATAATATATTTTGACTTTTGTGGGCGCGTCGGAGTTACAAGCTGAAATTTTCACAGAATGAAGGTTTTATTATGTTAATTCAAAATCCCAAGGTAATACAAAATCAGAACGGGCAAAAGGACACTATATTTAAAAATTGAGATTATTGCATGAACTTAATTATAGAATATTAATGTATGACTGTTCTCATACACTTTGTAATGGTAGACTAATCGATAGAGCAGGTCAAAATTAGTGGAAAACAACCCTGACATCAATTCCAAATGCCCATTTTAAGCAGAAACAAAAATAAAAAGAAAATTCTATTTTTGGCTCTGGAAAATTTTCAAAATCTTGAGATGGTCATGAACAATTACCCATATCTTTGTTAAATTTTAAGCAAATTGAAATAAATTATACATAATTGGGAAGAGCATTAAATTTTCTATAAATTTGAATTCGATAGCTCGAACAGTTTTTGAGGAATTGAGCCTCAAAGTTGAGTTCTAGTCCAAATTTTGTCAAAAACTTCAAATTCAATTTGCTCAAAAACTATAAATCTCGAAATATTGTAAATTACAGGCCATTTACAACTCGATTAAAGCTACAAATTCTGTAAATTTTAATGCAATTTGCTCAACGGTTACCGAGCAATAATTGAGGTTTGAATATTTTGCAATCAGAATTCAAATCCTTATGAAAAATTCGATTTTTTTATTTTTTAGTTTTGCTCAATTTTGACTTTATTAATCGATAGAGCGGGTCAAAATTAGTGGAAAACAACCCTGATATCAATTCCAAATGGCCATTTTAAGCAGACAAAAATAAAAAGAAAATCCTATTTTTGGCTCTGGAAAATTTTCAAAATCCTGACATGGTCATGAACAATTGCCCATATCTTTGGTCTGGAAATTATATACCATTGGAAAGAGCATTAAATTCGCTATAAATCCGTGTGAAAATGAGTTTCATAAATCAAATAGTTTTTAAGCAATTGAGCCTCAAAGTTGCCTTTCTGTCCAAATTTTGTCAAAAACTTCAAATTCAATTTGCTCAAAAACTATAAATTTGGGAATATTGTAAATGACAGGTCATTTAGAGCTTAATAAAAGCAACAAATGCTGAAAGTTTTAATGCAATTTGCTCAACGGTTACTGAGCAATTGAGGTTTGAATAATTTGAAATCAGAATTCAAAAGTACAATACGTAAAAGGGTTTATTGTATTGTACAATTGGCGAGAGAGAAAGGGAGCTACGAAGAAAAGTGAGATGGAAGAGTACTGGCGCAGCGGGAGAGTAGCTGTCGCTGCTAGAAGAAAATTACTTTTTTTATATTTAATTCTATATTTCCCTTAAAATTTGAGACAAAAAAAATTATTCTTGCACATATATATTTTAGATACCAAACAAGCAAACTTTTTGCAAGAATAAAACTTTTTGATTTGAGCCTTCATTTCGGAGATAATGCGTTGTGAATGCAAAAATTAATATATTTCAATCAGATTTTGCTCAGGTTTGAACGGAGATATTTCAATTTTTAGTTTTATTCTACCGTAAGGGTCAATGTATTTGGCTTATTCCAAACAATAATAAAAAATATAATTTGTACAAAAATATGGATAAATTTTATATGAGAACAGTCATAAATTACTATTCTCTACATTCATGCAATAATCTCAATTTTTGAACATACTGCCCATTTGCCCGTTCTGATTTTGTATTACCTTGGGATTTTGAATTAACATAATAAAACCTTCATTCCTGTGCAAGTTTCAGCTTGTAACCCCGACGCGCCCACAAAACTAATTTTTAGAAGGAACTGCGTTGGGCACAACAAACCTATGATTATTGGGAATTCGAGTATTTTGTATATTTTTACACATAATACACGAAACCAAACTTGCCGCTACGAAAACGAGAAAAAAGAAAAAATAGCATAATTAATAAGAGTTGTATTCCTTTCAAGAGTTTGGAACACTAGAGCTACTCGCTCCGATGTTAGTCGACCCTGATTTGAAAGGAACATATGCGCTGGCTTCCGCGCATTTAATACTGTATTCCTTTTATGCATCGAGTTACACCGAACGAGCTCCTCGGAGTCACTCCAAAACACACAATTCAGATTTTATCATTATTTTTAAATATTAACATTACCGTCATTACCTAAAAGGGCTTCTTACACCCCCCGCAAATTTGGCGCATAAGGGGAAAGGAGATGCACTATGAGCGACTCGAGTGCTTAACGCACTTTTAAAAGGAACGTTCAAGCTTTTGACATTGAGCAGCTCCGAGTAACTCAACGGGTAAAAGGAATACAGTAAATATGGTTTAGTTCGGGCTTGAGCACTTCAGGGTGCAACAAACACTTTACGAAAGGAATAAGCGCGTAACGTCTAACTGTTCCGGAGCTCCTCCTAGGTGTGAAAGGAATACAACTAAGGTTATGAGCAGAAAATGTCAAAAAACAATGAAAGTGAGCTGGCAACGTTACATAAGTAATGCCAACCTTCGAAGAACCCGAGAATTTACCAACCCTGGGTTAAAAAAGCTTGGATAAACACCTTTCGACTGGCCGTGTTTGTTGGAGCTATGATAAACGATAAAAGCAACGATACTAATGATACTTTACATTAGTATCGTTGCTTTTATCGTTTATCGCAGCACCAACATAATGCACCCTCAGGCCGTGTTTATGTTGGAGCTGTGATAAACGACAAAAGCAAAGATACCAGCGAAGCAACGAAATACAATGCCTGTGTTTGTACGCAGGTGTCTATGTTGGAGCGGCGAGTAGAGCAGCGCTTTTTTGTGGACCAGCGATAAGAGCGGCGACAAGCAATTCTGTAAATTTCTTTGCTTTTATGGACTATGAGTGGACGAGTGTTTATTAGGGTTTATAATATCATTTTTTTGCCTGGGTTTACGAGAGAGACGAGCGAGTGTGTCTTTACGTATATAATGCAACGATCTTGTAATAATAGCCATTAATACACGAGCACGAGCATGTTGTAGGATACGGAACGAGCCGCATGCAAGATTTGTATATAACATGCTCGTGTATTAATGGCCATTACATGACCCTAATAACACCGATCTCCCAGAAACATCCTATTTATGTACCATTAAGGTCCTTATGTTTCCGACATAAATGGTACATCGCTGCGATGTTTGTAATGTAACATCTCTAGGATGATTGTCCTGAAATGTTTTAGAAACATCCTTTCGTAAATATCTATCGACAAAAAGATTTTTTGTTCTCAAAATTAGATACTTATTACAGCTAAAAAATGGCTAACATTATTTTACAAAACTAGGTAGGACCTCAGACCGGTAGGACCCAGTATTAAATTTGCCAATTTTGTGTGATTTCTGAAAATGTCTCTATCACACACACAAACTAATTTCAAATTCCATAATATACCTGTAATGTATATAGATAATAAGGAACTTAATATTAATTTTGTATTGTAACAACAGCAATATTTAATTTTTCATTCGACTTACAACTTGGAATAAAATAAAATATGTATTGATAAAAGTCTTCTCTCTTTTCAACTTTCAAACATCGTGAATATTCGTGAAGCCGAAGTGTATGGCGCAGGCGCGTGCTCAGGCATTTGTACTTGTACCGGTCAGGACAGGAGGGCACGCCACCACGTCGGGTCGGCGCCGCAGCCAGCGCAGACGGGCAGAATCAGTCGAACGGGTCGTCCTGTGCGCTACGCTTGTGTTGTTGGGCGGAATTTTATTTCGTAATGGCGTCGTGCTGTGTGGAGGATTTGTCAATTTGTGGTTTTTCGCTACACCTAGTTGTGCCATTTTGTGTTCGAAAGGATCTCTGCGACCTACCAGTGCTTATTAGTTGGTGAGAAAGATTATTTGTTGAAAGATAACGTCGCATAACTATCAATTGCTTAGTTTATTTAATTTCAATATGGCGTCGGTTAGGAAATTTCTAACTTTTCTGATAAATAGCCCCTAGAAACCCGAACTTCATTCTTCATTAGGTAAGAGAAAATAACCAATAATTATTTTTTGTTTTCATAGTTGATTACATTCTAGGTGTGCAAGTTGAATTGTACTTCAAGAACTTTGGATTTTGGTTCTGTGGTTGTTTTGGTTAGATAATGGTACCTTTATGAAATTGGAGCACCAACAAAAAAAGAAAACGCCGAACTCCCCTACTACAACATGCTGCCACTGCCAAACTATGGTTTTCGATGACATGACGGGGCATAAATACTACATTATTTAGGCAAAATTGTCCGTCGATTATTATTAGTTGATAGATAATCAATATAAGTATACATGTACCTTATTTTTTCAATAAAAAATGTTATTGGAAACTGATGTGCCTACTTAATTTTATAATTTTCAATTTTTGTTTTTTTTTTGGAAAAAGTTCTGACTTCCAGAAAATAGAACGAAAATTGAAAATTATTGAATTAGGTAATTTTTAATCCATAATCCTAAAATTC